TGTGTCCAGCAGAGGGTGTACCGGGCGCTGTACGATTACGCCGCTCACGATCACGACGAGGTTTCCTTCCGCGACGGAGACGTGATCGTTAACGCGCAGCCCATCGATGAGGGATGGATGTTCGGCACGGTCCAGCGCACCGGAAGGTCCGGCATGCTTCCGGCGAACTACGTGCAGAGTTTACACTGAGATCATCATCACACAATCACAGCAGTCTGAAGAGTTTGATCAGACGTCTGCTAAAAGACAAGCGATCATTAGATTCATATGGAAGCTTATTTCTGCAGAATAAATATATTAAAAAGTGATTGATTTTTTTTCTGTAACTGAAAGTTTAAATCTCAATTCAGACTTTTTCTCAGAATTGCAAGACATAAACATGCAATTTTCAAAAAAACTTCACTTCTGAGTTTTTATCTTGCAATTTTGACTTTTTGTCTCAGAATTGAGTAAAAAGTTTAAATGAGAAACATTTGCAGTTAGCCTACTTTTAATTTTTTTAATTCTGTGGCAGTAACAAGCTATTTTGTCTGATAGTAGGTTGATAATGTTGATAATAATCAATAACTGTGTCATTGATAGCTGAATGAGGTTAGTTTCATCATCTTTTAATGTGTAAAATGTGTAATTGTTGCCCAGCGCAGCAGAGCTCATCCAGTCATTCACACTAATGATCTGTTCTTCATCAGCGTTTATTATGCCATCATCACACATTACTAGTGACGTCAGTCACAGACTAGTTCTGAAATAAACTAGTAGCGATGTTAACTCAGGCTGTGGACTGAGAGGGTTCGTTTACTAACCAATAACAGTTAGTTTAGTTTCTGGTTGAACAGATGCATGATGTTTGATGAGAAGAACACGACTGCAGCTCAGATCTGCACTAAAGCCATGTGATGTAGAAAACCATCATCTGCTGTGTGTAGAAACCACTCTTTTTCTAATGTTTGTTTATGTGTAATGTGTGTTCACCTGCTTTGAAGAGGAATAGTGGTTAAATGCGAGCAGTGCTTCCCTGTTCAGTGCTGTTCTCTTGAACTAGTCTGGTTTATTTACTTTAGTAGCATGTTGATCTGTCAGCTAACAGACATGTGATCGGCCTGAACAGTGTTTGTGAACTCAATCAGGATCTGTCACAGTACGTGATAACTGCATGACACTAGATGAATTATGAGCTAAACATCAGCAGGTTGTGAGTGTGATTGATGGTTTTATTTACTTTATTATAAACTCTCTCACTTGTCGTCACTTTGATATATTTACCCGCGTCACTGTCTTCTGTTAACGCTATTTACCTTGTAGAGTTTCGCAGTTATTGAATTGATAATCAATAAAAAGCTTTGTCCAGCATTGTGACTTGTTATTAGTCTGTCTGTGAGCGTGTGGCGCATGCGTGGATCTCCGCAGAAATCGACACGTGTCTCTGTGCGTGTGACGTCAGCGGTGTCCCGGATGAGCGCAGGCGTCGTCAGGCGGTTCGTCAGTGTAAACTCGCTCAGCGCGTCAGGCGTGTTTCTCTCGCGTTTATTCTCAGTATTTTCTCATTTGATCCTCACTGTTGGAATCATGAAACTGCTGCAGAAGCTGCTGTTGCTGCTCTTACTGGCGTTTCCAGCCACGCTGCTGCTGAAGGGTGAGTTTGACTGTTCGATCAGGCCTCGATACATACTGTAATAATCGATAAGGAGATCAGTCCGCTGTACCTCATCGATAATCCGCTCTCGAGGCTCGCGTTTGGACTGTGTGTGTGTGTGTGTGTGTGTGTGTGTGTGTGTGTGTGTGTGTGTGAGAGAGACGTGTCCTTCATTCAGACTCTCAGTAAGCCACTAAAGAAACAAACTTCAAATTTCACTCGAACTCCAGCTGTAGTGCGCTACAAAGTACACTAGAGATCAGAAAGTGCTTTGCTGTGACTAGTATTGATTACGTGTCTCGTACAGTACGCACTACTTATTATAAGAAGATTTCACGGTCATTTCTTCACACTTCAGTTAAACTCTCTGTATGTGCGTTTAATCACATGAACATGAGTGATGAGAGAAGTTCTGCACTTCAGTTTAACATCATCAGATGTGTGTTAGACCTTATAATGATCTGTGTGTGTGTGTCTGTCTGTGTGTGTGTGTCTCTGTGTGTGTGTGTGTGTGTGTCTTGTCTGTGTGTGTGTCTGTGTGTGTCAGCTGATGATGTGATGGCTGAGGATGAGGATGATGAAGCTGAGGTGGAGGACGATGATAACACTGAACTAGTAAGAGAACTAACTAGCATTAACCTCTCGTCATCTGACGCTCTGAGCGGTTGGTGAAGACACATGTTGTCGTTTCTTCTGTCAGACGGAAGAAAAGGAGGAAGAGGAGGAAGAAGCTCTGGTGGGAGAGATGAAGGCTTCACCCAATGCTGACACCTCCATCCTCTTCGTCAAAGGAGAAGGTGAACGAGTCGATCTCACATTCACCAGCGGCTCATACTCGCCAGGAGACATGATTGTGTGATTTATTGCATCGTCAGATTATTTTCATGAATTGATACACATTTTGTTCATTAAATTCTCATTATTCTATTAGTTGTTTTGTACTGTAATACAGTAGGTGATTATGAAGTTTATTTAACCCTATAAAGATACTGCATCATATTTGATGATGAGTTTCTAAGCCTCTAAATGATCAAACTTTGCTGTTAAACCTGTTTTTCACTCTTTTAGTGTAATTGTACAAACGTCCAGCTTCAGCTGCTGCTTCTCGTGTCAAATCTTGACTGGTTTTGATCAAGTAAAGGTCAGAATAACTGCAGTAATATCTCCAGATGAACACTTACTGGACTGAAGCAGCTCAGCTTTACTTGATTCTCCATCAATCATGTTTTAGAGTCTCAAATCTGATCCTCAGGATCTTTTGAGGAGCGTTTGTTTCCAGAAGCTTTACTTTCACTGTTCCTCAGCGGAGGAATGATCTTCACAAGCCTCCAGAACATCTCACATCTTCTGAGGAGCCTTTATTTCTTCAGCTCTCAATCACTGCATTATATGTTTGGAGCATTTCAATGAATTTCATCATATAAATATCAGCATGTTATTTCATGTGTCAGGTTTACCGAGTCTCATGGTGTTTTAGTTTCTGATATTGAGATGAACTCTGATTCACAGACTGATGGGTGTTTCTCTTCTGTCGGCTCATTCATTCGTTCTCTTCCTGAATGGCAGATTTTCCCCCGGTCATTGCTGCTTGCAGCTATATTTATTATTATTATTATTTATTTATTTAATTATGATAAATTTTTCCCATTGAAAATGATACAATTTTTTTTCTAATATTTTTCTATTACTTTAATTATGGCAGTATTTCATGTTAAATAGATACAATGTCTTTAAAATCCAATTTATGAAGGCAGATTAATTCCATCTGGTTGGAGAGAGAAAAAAAAAACATATCTGCAATTCCATGGTTTAGCCACTAGATTCCTATAGAGCGCTATATAAAAGACTTATAAATTATCTAGTTGTTTTTAGACATTCTCAAAGACAACTTGTTGCAAAGGTTACATTTTTTTGTTTGAAATGTTGGTCTGAAATGTCAGTTTTTGCATTAATCAGTCAAACCTGAACACAAAGAAAGACATTGTATTACACAACATCAAAGTATGACATCATCAAATGTAACAAATATGAACAGGAATGCTTTATCAGGTTAATCAATCTGATTTCAACCTCTTTTTTCAGTCTTCTGGCTCAATTTTGTCATATTGTTACAGCCAGTAACAAAAATCGTGCGTGCGTGCTTGTGTCTGTAAGTGTGTGTGCGTGCGTGTCTGTCTGTGTCTGTATATGTGTGTGTGTGTGAGTGAGTGCGTGCGTGCGTGCGTGCGTGTCTGTATATGTGTGTGTGTGTGTGAGTGTGTGCGTGCGTGTCTGTGTCTGTATATATGTGTGTGAGTGAGTGAGTGTGTGTGTGTGAGAGAGGAGTGACTGTGTGTGTGTATATGAGTGTATGTGTGCGAGTGCGTGCGAGCGCGTGTGTGTGTGTGTGAGAGAGTGCGTGCGTGTCTGTGTGTGTGTTTGAGGAGACCGTCTCTGGACTCGATCCTCTCTCACTCACTCGTGTCCTTCCTCTCTGCTGTTTCAGGGGAACGTGTTCCAGGACGCCGTCTTCAACCAAACCGTCACCATCACCGAGAGAGAAGACGGTCTGGATGGAGAGACGTAAGGCTGCTGCAGCGGTCGAGGAGTTCAGGCTTTGAGCAGCAGGTGGCGCTCTGATCATGTGACTGACTCTGTGTGTGTGTGTGTGCAGGATCTTCTTGTACGTGTTTCTGTCGGGACTCGGCCTGCTGCTGGTGGTCGGCCTTCATCAGCTGCTCGAGTCACGCAAGGTGAGACGCTCATCATCATCAGCTGCTCTTCATCATTACTCTGCTGTCAGAATCTGTGCTTCAGTGTGTGTGTGTGTGTGTGTGTGTTACAGAGGAGACGGCCAGCAGCTAAAGTGGAGATGGGAACCTCCAATCACAATGACGTGGACATGAGCTGGATCCCACAGGAAACACTCAACCAGATCAGTGAGTGTCAGCCAATCACAGCAGGCTTTACACACCAATGATCACACTGTTAAATTAAATGAGTTAAAATAACAGATGGGTCTGCACAGTTCATTAAATAAAACTGGAATAGCCTTTTCAAATCGTGGTTATAAATTCAAAGGCTTGATTAAATGGATTAAATTAGAATTTAAGAACTAAATAGTCTCTTGCGCTACGTTTAGTTTAGTTTAATTTATTTCACTGATATTCCACCAAAATAAAAGCTTGAGAGTGAAACATTAGTGTTGTAACTTTTAATGTAAAATATCACGCATTTATTTGTTTTAAAGTACAATTACAATTTATAAAACAGTAATATAGTTCTGTCTTCATATGTTATATTTCGAGGGCAAACTAATAATAATTAATAATAAGAATGTAATATTATAAATTGAAAATATATTTGAAATATGACAAATTAATTTATATATATATATATAAAACAATGAAAACGCTGAAATATCTAGCTGTGTGACTTCATCAGAGAACTGTGCACGTGTGCTGATTAAATGACTGAAGCTGATCTCTGAGGGGTTCAGCTGATGATTGAGTTAGTTTGAGACTGATGTGAAGATCATGTGTGTCTGGTGTGGTGTGGTCTTCCTGTCTGATGGTGTTTGTTCTCACGCTGCTCTCTCTCTTGATTTCCTCCTCTTCCTCTCGTGTGCTCAGTGGCGAGTCGGAGAGGTGAGCGCTTCTTTCAGTCTGGATTCTGATGTTTCTGTGCTCTGATCTTCATCATGTGACTCGCATCTGATCACGTGACTGACGTCTGTCTGTTTCTCTCAGATAAAGCTTCTCCAAGACAATCTCCACGCAAGAGGACTCAGAAACGCTCGGCCGGATCAGACGAGTGAGAGACACCGCCATCTTCATCATCATCATCATCATCTGTGTTTACAGTGAGACGGCGAGTCTGTCCTTCACTGGATGCCAACAGAGACTGACACACACACTCATACACTCACACTCACACACACATTCTCTCTCACTCTCACACACACACACTCATACACTCACACTCACACACACATTCTCTCTCACTCTCACACACACACACTCATACACTCACTCTCACACACACATTCTCTCTCACACACACTCTCACACACACGTTCTCGCTCTCACACACACACTCACAGGCCGTTTTTTAAAGTGAAAGTGCGCGAGGAGTTGGGCCGCTCAAGCTTCTGTAGGTCTGCTTTATTTTGTAATTACGAGCGTCTGGATTCTTCTCATCGTTGATCATCTTCACGCCTCTCTTCTGAGGACTGATGAGATGTTTCCGAGCTTCATCACGTGTTTCTGCCGTTTTCCTTCCTGTTCAGTCGATGACTTGATGATGACTGGTTTTAAAGGCCTCGTTTGCTTGCAGAAGGTGCCTGATTTAATTTCTCTGGTTTTCTTCATGATTTGCGTGTGAGCACGAGCTCGTGACTCGAGGACGCTGACGGTGTGCTCCTCCTCAGGACGGAGGAAGACTGTCATTGTCTGTCTTGTGTTGTTTTGTTTTTTGATCAATCTAGTAAAGTCACGGTATTGTTCAGAAACCAGCCTTGAGCGCGTGCTGATGCACAGATCCGGATGTACTTGGAAAAATACAAATAAACTGAAATGAACAAATGATCTGGTTCTTTGTGATTTTGTCACATTGTATCTTTAGGGTTTATTTTTCATCAGTGGGTTTTAATGTTTTAATTCACCGTTCCTCGAGTTGCTTTATCTTTCTGTTATTAATATCAGTATGTTAAAGTTAGCCTGTTAATAATATCGTAAATATAAAATAAATATAAAAACCCTTAACAGATTACTATTAAAGATTTAAGTTTCAATTTAAAGCAAACCAGGAGGTGACTAGACCTGTCTGGGCTTGGGTTTGCCCCCCTGTCCCGCATCTTCCTCTCCTGGCGGAGAAAAGGAGACACGGGAAGGAGTGATCCAATTAAAAGATTCAATTAGAAGGATGACAAAGGCCCATATCAGGATCCGTCTCGACTCAAATCAGTTAGATTGAGGGAAATGTTCAAGACAACCTCTTCAGTAGTGTACCTCAGGATCATTGGGTGTTTCGGCCTTTAACCACTATACACCCTCACGCTGAGGCCGGCTCGCTTGGGCGATCATCCCCAAGCGTGTGTCTTGTAGCCAATTGCTATTCGAGCTTGACCAGATCCACAATTGCATGGTTGGGCTCTGGGTTGAGTTAATATGAGTTTTCAACTTAAACCGGTCATTAGTAGAGATGTTGATTTGATTCTATTGATTTTAATTTATTTGGAGTGCACGTTAGAGCGATTAAAAAATTAATTTATTAATTAATTTAAAATTAGTTTTCTAATCCTGTCCCAAGTCCTTAAAAAGTCTTAAATCAGAGCAGAAAGTCTTAAATTCATAAAGTCGTGGCATTAAATGTTGCATGCACTGCGAAAAATGAACGTCTTCCTCAGTACTTCGGTCTGGTTGTCCAGCACACATAGCTAAACATAGGAGGAGCTAAACGAAGAGATGAAGTTTTGTGAGAAACTGAACAAAACTGAGTTATTAAAGTGAACCAGTATGTCAGTGGGCTCAGATAAATAAACTTATTTTTAGACATTTGTTTTTGACTTAAACTTATTTTGATAAATTCTTTGTGTTCCATTCCTTCCATTTTCTTGAAAAGCCTCATATTTCCCTTCACAGATCCCCGTCCCATCATCAGCGTGTTTCACGTGGAATCGTTAATAATCTTCATTAGAGAGGGGAAACTTCTGCATGTTTTATCTAATCTGAACACGGGAACTTTACCTCCCTGCATCTTTCCATCCACTCATTATGCAGCAATATTCCTCATATCTTTACAGTAACGACTCGTTTATCATACGGAAAATGTCATTAACGTGCCCATTGTGAAACACATGCAATAATGCTGTCAGTCAGCTGAAAAACTATTTGCACTTTGACAGACAAAAGAAAAATGTTTCCACCAATTAAATAGTTATATAAATGTTATTACATTTTTTATATTATTATATTGTTGTTATACTAAGGTCCTTTAAATATTATCAGTAATATTAAATATTCTTATGGTGTTTAATAGTCCATTACATCTGTCCAACAAGAGGTTAGGTGGGTTTATTAATATATTAATCAAGATCAGAACTGATCTGACATCTGGTGAAGATAAATACATAAATACATGATCTCCTGTTTACAATCTGAGCTGATAAACTTTGCTCCGAGTTTCCAGAGAAGCAAAAACAAGCACACACTGTTTCCATTCATTCATCGTGATGATGATGACGAAGATGATGATGAAGAAGATGATGGTGATGAAGATGATGATGATGGTGATGAAGATGATGATGGTGATGAAGATGATGATGATGATGTTCCTCTGGCATCAGCTGCACTTTCACCTTCTGAAGATTCACACTTTTACACCTAACTCTTGATTCCCTGCTCAATAATTGGTAACACTTTACAATAAGGTTCATTAGTTAACATTAGTTAACTACTTTAGTTAACATGAACTAAGCATGAACAATACTACAGCATTTATTAATCTTAGCTAATGTTAATTTCAATATTTACTAATGCATGATTAAAATCAAAAGTTGTGCTTGTTAACATTAGTTAATGCACTGAATTAACATGAACTAACAATGAACAACTGTATTTTCATTAACTAACATTAA